AGTACAACTTATTAAAGCTCCATATTTGTATTTGTATAGCTTTAATGGACATATTTTTATTCAACATTATATTTATTATTAAGTATTTGACGTATATCATGATACATAAATAATATGCTAGAACGTGTAATGAACATCTTAAAATAAAGATTCTTCCAATTTTTTTAGCCGGCACATTTTTTACTCAATATATCATATTTTATTATTAGGTATTTCATGAACATCGTGATACAAGTCGTATAATAGTTGTTTGATAATGAACTTCTTGAAGTCCTTATTTAGTATAATCAATTATAAATTATAAAAAATTCATCATTTTGATAATTTTAAATAATCATCTATACTATATTATAAAGCATTTGTTGATAAGGAACTTCTTGAAGTCCTTATTTAGTATAATCAATTATATATTATAAAAAATTCATCATATTGATAATTTTAAATAATCATCTATACAATATTATAAAGCATTTGACAAAAACTCTTAAAAAACTATTTTTTATGCATAAAGTACTGTTTATTGATGCATATTACTTAAAATTCAATATTACAAGTAAATTATGTATAAGTACAACTTATTAAAGCTTTATGTTTGAATTCGTGTAACTAACTGCGGATAAACATAATCAAATAGATGATAAAGATCTCATTTTAAATATAAAAAATCTAAAATATAATTAAGATAATTATTTAGTTCTAATAGAATATTTAATTATTATCCTTATAAAAAATATATTATTAAACCTAAATTAAATTATTTCGTTACATTAAATTAAAGTATAATAAAAATTTTGAATTAAAAAAAATAAACAAACAAAACTTTTAAATAGTTAATTTGATACTAATATTGATATATTTTTTGCAAATTTTATATGATATTTTCAAATTTATATTGTATTCCAAAATAGAAACATTATCTTTTTTTTTTCAAAACCATATAAAATCGTATTATATCGACATGAATAAAAAATAAAACGTAACATTGAAATGGAAATATTTTTGTCGATTCATTGCACGAATACCCTTCTAATATTATTATATACATAAGTATTAGTATTATAATTTTATCTTACTTATTTTGATATTTTAATTATATATTTATATTTTATAATTTTGTTTTCTTTTATATATTTATATTGAAAAATACATATTATTTTATTATTTTTGTGTTATTTTTTATTTAATACTTTTGATTTTATATATTAGCATTTATTATATTATTATTATAGTAATTTGTCGTACGTATCCACCCAACCCTTCTCCCATAGATCATCATTACAAAACCCATCCCTTAGGGTGCGTTTGGTACGCTGGACAGAGTGGGACAGGACAGGACAGAACACATTTGTCCTACGTTTGGTATGGCTAAATGTGGAACTAAGTGGAACTAAGTTGGACAAGCATGGGACACGCGTGTTCCACCATTACCCCTGGAACTAAGTGGAACAGAAACATTTTTACCACACTACCCCTTCCCCCTTTCTTCCCCACATCGCACCCTCCATAATCGGTGCCCCTGCACCTGCCAAAGACGCCGCCACTCCATCGCACCCCTAACCTTCTCCTTCTCCATCTCGACGACGACGGGAGTTCCCTTCATCTCGACGGCTCCATCGCTTCTCCTCCCCATCGACGCCCCTGCACCTGCAGAAATCAGCGCCCCTGCACCTGCCAAAGTCCGCCTCCATCGCTTCTCCTCCCCATCGACGGCGACATCCCTCTCTCCATACTCAGGTACACGATTGCTTCATCTCGATTTTGTTGCTAATCGGCTGTTTGCTTGAACCCGAAATCGATTGCTTGAACCGATTTCTTGTTTGCTTGAACCCTAAATTGGCCTTTTCTTAGTTTGAGGAACCCAAACGCACCCTCTGTACTGTTGCTTCCATCTGGTTTGGTTCTAACAGACCCACAAATATTTAATACCAACACTGGTTGTTCAATGGCTCATGAAATCCAAATAGGCAGCAAATATAAGGAAATCTCGCACATTGTTAAGAAAGATTGAGTTATCATGTGTAAACAATTTGGTTCTAACAGACCCACAAAAGATTAGGTTATCATGTTTGGAAAGATGTAGAATAGATGCGTATTGATGAATATAGTTGGAACATTTATATTGATTATTTAGTGAAAAAAAACACTAAACATCTCATTGGGGGTAAATTGGTCATTTTAATCAGTTCTGTCATGTCCTGTTATGTCTTACCAAACGTTGAACAGGTGTCCTGTCCTGTTCTGTCCTGTCCCGTCATGTCCTGTCCTATCTTGTCTGCGCACCAAACACACCCTTAGTGTATGGTCATTTTAGTGGCGATACAGGATTCTAACTTGGGGATGTAATACCATGACAAATATAACAAAATTTCGCATGCATCAATTTTTTTTATTAACCTGGACCAACTCGCTATGCGAGCCGACTAATCTTAGGGCGACCACCTACTTTGCAGATAGCCCGGAGTCACCGCATTTGAACCTCCGTGGCCACAAGGGGATTTTTATTCCTCTTTGGATTTGAACCTGGAACCTCCTGGTACTTTTGACATTTGGAGACAAGCTCAAACCAATAAGACACCACCCTTGTGGTTCATGCCATCAACTTTTTCTTGACCATGGGGATGTAATAGTGTTTGAATTCATTCAAACATAACCTTTTGCATGCCATCAACTTTTTCTACAAAAGCCTTTACACAGGAGTCACAAGAGTGAGATTGACAGGAGTCTGGAGTCTTGTCCAACAGCCAAAATAGGCGACCCTGGTCACTTGCTGTTTCATCCGATTATGCATAGAGCTTATGACCTTCTTTTACCCTTTAATGGTGTTTTCATAGTTTTTCAGAAGGGAGTTGATCCACTTCCCCATTGACCCAAGAGGGATAGCAGCGGTAACACTTGCTACCACCACAGGTGGTGCATTTATGGCAGTTGCAACAACAAAATGGTTTTGGCGCACATGGGATGGTTGGAGAAGGTAACCATCAGAATTAAAGTAATGCATCAACAAGATGTACATTGTGCTTTATAACTTGTAATTAAGAGTTTTTTAAAATCTAAGCATAAAATGGTAGTACTTTGTGATTTGTAATTAAGAAATATGTCTAAATGCTTGTTAATGTAGTATAGATATATGTATGTATGTAGAGAGAGAGAGAGAGAGAGAGAACGTTTAAAATGCAACCTAGTTTATAGCTACAACGGATGCAACCTCCTCTAGAATCGTCCCTTTTTTTATCATGAGAATGTAAGACTAAATATCTATATATAGGGTTGGATTTACGTGAGACCGGACTGTTTTCGTGAGACTTGTGAGACCACATCTTCATATTTGAAACTTCACAGTAAAATATTGTGAAAGTAAAAAATTCGAATTTTTACAGCAAAACACTGTGAAGGTTACATTCACAGTGTTTTACTGTGAAGTTTCAAGTTTAAAAATGTGGTCTAACAGGTCTCACGAAAATAGACTGATCTCAAATGATCTCAAATCTCTCTCTCTCTCTCTCTCTCTCTCTCTCTATATATATATATATATATATATATATATATATAAGAGAGAGAGTGTGTGTGTGTGTGTCAGTGTCAGAGAGAGGCCGTTTCAAATAAGAATGCTAAAATATCATGAGAATGTAAGAATACAAAGTTCATATGTAAATCATTGAAAAATCCAAAAAATCTATTTGAATATGCATATGTGAACCCACGTTACAAGTTATTCATATAAGTTCACATATAGGATTGAGTTCAAATAAAAACATGGTCAAAACAAGAGAATATGAAAACGTTTTTATCACATGTGATTCACGTTTGGTCAACATTCTTTGGTTGTCAGTGAAACCTGCATTGATTGAAGTCGAATCACATGTGATATAGGGGTTCTCATGTTATCTTGTTTTAATCGTGTTCTCGTTTGAACCTATACATGTTATGTGTCTGTGTGTAAGTGACATCGGCAGAGAACAGAAAAACCATGAAAGAGAAAACAGATGAAAAAAAATGTATCAAATGGATGTTAAATTAAAGATAATGGATCCGATTTTTATCATAATTCACCAATTTTCGATTTAAAAGAGTGGTATGAACATAAAGTGATAGTGGGTAGGGGTGTAAACGAGACGAATCAAGTAGTAGTTTTTGAATGAGTCAAGTCGAATTTTGGTGTTATTATGTTCGACTCGTTAAGTTAAACGAGTTCTCTTTTGTATTTAAGATCGACTCGAGCTCGAAAATTATTAAACTCGAACTCAATAAATAAACAAGAGGTGTGACAACTAATTTGCAGTTTAAACACACTACAACAAAATTGGGTTTATCGGACGTCTGCAGTCTCAAAGTGTCCCAATTGACTGCTTTATATGACTTAATTTATAGGACCAAAATATAAAATGTCATACCTAAAGGTGTTGTAATAGGTTTATATGACGCTTTTGGGCGTCTTAACAAGTTTTTTAGAACATTTTTAATACAAAGTATCGTATTAGCGACTTTATAGGACAATTACTTTTGAGAAATTGTTCTATAAAATAATTTTTTTATAGGACACTTGTTTTTATAGAACAATCTTTCAAAGAGTGTCCTATAAAGTTGATAATGAGACGTTTTATATTAAAAGTGTCTTAAAAAATTTATTACGACATCAAAAAAACGTCATATAAACTTAATACAAAGGCTTTAGATAGGACACTTTATTTTATTTTTTTTGTCTTATAAGCTAAGTCCTATAAAAGGGTCTATTAGGACATTTAGAATTTGGGAGTGTCCTATAAATCCGATTTTGTTGTAGCGACAATAACTTAAATTATTCCTTTCGAAAATAGTAAACTTAAATTAAAATGTGAAATTACATTATTACCCATGTAGGCAGTAGGTATAACAACTAAATTGTTGCCCTTTAACAAGCTCCAATTTCCTCCTTTCAAACTAAAACCAGTCTACCGTCGCCGGCGAAGTAAAAAATCCCTCCTTCTAACGTTCTCTCACACGGCAAGAAGCTTCATCGGAAAATGCTTTCCGATTCTCCGACGATTTCCAGGTTCTCCATTCACTCCGACCACCACCATCTCCACCGTTGCAGCTACAACCACCACTCTCAATCTCATTCTCCGCCGTCACCGCCGCCACCGTCTCATCTACGAAAGATCCAAATCCTACGCCTCCGTCGTAATTTCCAAATCTCCGCCATAGACGCAGCTCAACCCTTCTACTACGAATCCAAAATATCCGACTGCATCGCCAAATCCAAAACACTAAAAATTGCCATTGTAGGCTTCGGCATCTTTGGCCAATTCCTTGCGAAAACCCTAGTTCGTCAAGGCCACAACGTCCTTGCACACTCCCGCACCGATTACTCCGCTGTGGCAACAGAGCTTGGCGTCTCTTTCTACTCTAACGCCGACGACCTCTGCGAAGAACACCCCGAGGTAATCCTCCTCTGCACATCAATCCTTTCAACCGACAAAGTACTCCGCTCATTGCCATTACAAAGGTTGAAACGAAGCACATTATTCGTAGATGTTTTATCYGTTAAAGAATTCGCTAAAGATTTGTTCTTGCAAATATTGCCATCAGATTTCGATATTCTTTGTACCCATCCGATGTTTGGGCCTGAAAGTGGTAAAAACATTTGGAAAAATCTTCCATTTGTGTATGATAAAGTTAGAATTGGGCATGATGAAGCTAGGGTTTCGCGTTGCCAAAAATTTATTGATGCTTTTGCCAAAGAAGGGTGCATAATGAAGGAGATGACTTGTGCTGAGCATGATCAGCATGCAGCTGAATCTCAATTCATAACCCATACAGTTGGGAGGATCTTGGAGAAGTTGGATTTGTGTAGTACTCCAATTAACACTAAAGGGTATGAGAAATTGTTGGATTTGGTGGATAATACATCAAGTGATAGCTTTGAGTTGTATTATGGGTTGTTTATGTACAATAAGAATGCAATGGAGCAGTTGGAAAGGTTGGATTTGGCTTTCGAATCGTTGAAGAAAGAGTTGTTTGGTCATTTGCACGTGGTTTTGAGGAAGCAATTGGTTGGCTCGGGAGGTCGGCATTTGGGCTTTTCGCACGAAGCACCAGTCTTGTCGAAGTTGCCTCGTAATGGGAATGGGAATAAGTTGTCTCTTAATGGGAATGAGAATGGGAATGGATAATAGTAATTAATTAACGAAACAAGCAACTCTATACATAAATCAGTTTAACTGGAGAATTTGATTTTCATCAGTTGTATATTGAGGCTTCCATTGGTTACGTAGGTGAAAATAGCAGTAGGAATTGCTCGAGGGATGGTTTTCTTGAAAAAGAAACAACGTGAAATCCTTGACAACATGTATCCGAGAGGACTAGTCAGTGGGGTACAATCTGATCAGCTAGATCTTTTGTCATGCTATTAAGAATTCAAAATCTAGTATGATTAATTTGTTTCACTTTTAGGACATTGTTGAACTAAAGCTTCATATTACGAGTATGTCTCAACAGCTTGAGCAAATCTAAGTGGGTGATTCCCTGCGATTCAAAAACAACATTATATGAGTTGTATGCTATTTTCATGTTACATTTTTGACACCCCTTGTTGGTTTTACCTACTTGCACATAATATAAATTTGCAGGGTTTTAAAGACTATGTTGGAGCGTAAGTTACTTCATCCTCTTCCCCATACCTTCATACAAATTATCCATCCCTATCGTTGTGATATATAATTTGGTTTGTTATTATATATGCAATTACAAACATCCGAACGAAGATCACTCTCTCAGGGGCCTCAAAACCACAGACCGATGACGTAAGGATAAAAATGATCAATGAGTATCGGCTTGACAGATGTAAGATAATGTTGGATGATGAGATATATCTGAGCTTTTTCATTATACATCCATTAATGTGTTGGTTTTTTGGGTACTAAACTAAGGACTAGAATCGATATGAAAAATATACCACTTATTGCTTTCAACGCTAATAAACTCTTTATTCTTTAAAGCAATTTCGCCCCCACCGTATGTGCTTTGGGTTCTTGGCAAATCGCTTCTCAAGATACAATGAAACAGTCTGTGCATATCAATTAACAATAATGCATGGTTGTTGATATTCCCGGATGAATTAGTGAGTTAATTTTCAATGATTTGAAGAAGCCTATAAATGTATTTCTATAGCAACATACTTTAGAGTAATCTGGTATGATAGAAAAGCGAGAATTTTTATGTATATTGACAGCAAAAAGGATGTTGTATATATAGGGGTTTTAGTGACAGTTAAAACTGTCAAAGAAAATTGGTGACTCTTCACACGTCACATTAGCGACATCTGTCCAAATTGGCACTAGAAACTGACATGTAAAAGGGTCGCCTTTTTTCCTTTAGCAACATCCGTGCAAACTGTCACTGAAGGTGACTGTTGAAAGGGTTTTTTTTTTCCTTTGGCGACATCTTCCCAAACTGTCACGAGCGACTTTTCAAATGGTTTTTTTTTTTGCTACACCCACTACAATATAATTTATTTTATAGGATGCCTAGAAAGTCTAAGCTTTCTAATTGAATACTTTATAAAAGTTAGATTTATAGGACCAAACTATAAAATGTCCTATCTAAAAGCGTTACAATAGGTTTATAGGACGTTTTTAGACGTTTTAACAATCTTTTTAGGACACTTTTAAAATAAAGTATCGTATATACTATTTTCTAGGAAACTTTTGAGAAGTATCATATAAACCCATCTTTTTATAGGACGCTTTTTTCAAATAGTGTCATATAAAATAGTTAATACGACACTTAATTTTAAAAGTGTCCTAAAAAGATTGTTAAAACACCTTAATGCATCCCACAATTCTATTGTAATACTTTTAGATACGATACTTTTTGGTTTGGTCCTATAAACTTAAATCGTATAAAGTATATTCATACGACGCTTCTAGGTTTTAGGCGTTGTAAAAACCAATTTTATCGTAGTGAACCGGTGAAACTGTCACTTATATACCCACTTCAGGTTTCATTTACAAAGCCTTTACCCTTCCTCTTAACTGTCTTCAAGGATATATGCGTTTTCTTCTTTGATTACCAAGTTGTTGTCTGTCTTTTGAAGTTCATGTGTCATTTAAACAGTCTATGTTAACAACAGGTCACTAGCGTAAAACCGCTCGCTCTCACAAAATTTGAGAATACAGTAGCTAGAATAGCATATTTCACTAGTAATATATTTTTCCATCACTGTTTCGACACGTCTTGTTGGCTTTACCTCAATGCACGAAATATACAATTGCAGGATTTTACGGCAAAGCTTTCAAATTTCAAGAGTACTTACGATCTTGAATGTTATATGCACGGACACAATAACCTCGTTGAAGGAGACTATTATCCTGGGCATGGTAAGTAACTTCAACCCATCTTTCGTACCTCTTACGATCCCTTCCTCCCCCCCCCCCCCCCCCTTCCCACCGAGAAAAAATGAATTTCCCATTCCCATTTCCATCCGAATGGTAGTTTTTCTTGTGGTCATGCAACTGCATACTTCTGAATAAGGATCCTTTTTCAGAGCCCAGTCCCATTGAAATATTAGAAGACGATGTCTCCGGTTTTACAGTGGTATTCATGGAGGTGCTAATAGGGACAAAAATCTCTAATCATAAAGATTTGAGGAAGATTGATGATTATTTGAAAAGAAAAAGGAAAAAAGTCCTTACGTCTTATTGCAGAATTATGTTATGAAATCTGCAATGAAGTGGATTCAGAATCAAGGATACTAACAATGTTGGAGGAGTATGAGGAGCATATCAAAGGAATAGACGACTATTTTTTGTATACATATAACAGATTAACCTGAGAAAAATGGTTATGTTTTCTAATTTCAAGTTCAGTGTTTTAATACAACAAAACTTAGAGATGAAACTTTGTCATGGTTGAATATAAGTCACTATATATATATATATATATATATATAGCATATATAGTAAGTGTCGAAAAGATATGTATGTTTATAGAGAAAATGTAGACTTTGGCTATATTTGATAAACTGGTCGTCGGTGACTCAAAAATAGCTATTAACTGAAAAGGTAGCAGCTGTTTTTGCTTGGTATATAGTTATTACTTGCGTTTTTGCTTGGGTTTTAGAAGTCATATGTATCATTCCACTTTGCCTCCTTATATGCCTCCTAATGTGACATCAACGAATTTGATGATGAAGTGGTTATTGGAAAGGGAGGACTCACAAAAGCTGTGCAAGGGCATGTTGTGGCATTCAGATGATTGCCTTCTATGTCCAACCATATGGTACAATTTTAGAATAAAATCGGATTTATAAGACGCCAATGATGTTTAAGTGTCATAATAGATCACTTTATAGGTCTTAAGTTTATAGGACCAAATGATAAATTGTCTTATTTAAAAATGTTGTAATAAGTTTATATGACACTTTTAGGCGTCTTACAAGTTTTTTTTAAGACACACTACAACAAAATTGAGTTTATAGGACACCCTGAATCTTTAAGCGTCCCAATAGACCGCTTTATAGGACTTAATTTATAGGACCAAAATGTAAAGTGTCCTATCTGAAGGTGTTGTAATAAGTTTATATGACGCTTTTGGGCGTCTTAACAAGTTTTTTAGGACATTTTTAATACAAAGTGTCGCATTAGCAACTTTATAGAACACTTTTGAGAAAGTGTCCTATAAACTCATTTTTTATAGGACACTTGTTCGTATATGACAGTTTTTCAAATAGTGTCCTAGAAAGTTGTTAATAGGACGCTTTATATTAAAAATGTCCTAAAAAACTTATTACGACGTCAAAAAACGTCATATAAACTTATTACAATGCCTTTAAATATGACACTTTATTTTTTTCGTCCTATAAACTAAGTCCTATAAAGAGGTCTATTAGGACACTTGCAACTTGGAAGTGTCCTATAAACCCGATTTTGTTGTAGTGTTAGTTCAATTAGATGAGTGCTAAATAGTTATTGTCTGGTATTAAGACTATGGACACACAAATATGCACATACAAAAGGCTACTGAAATGTTCGTATTATGAAGCTTCCAAGTGAACCTCATTTTGCCTGATACTCAGAATCGTCATGTTTCTTCTGTACTACCAACAAAACTTGAAGTGAGGCCACGACCTCTGTCATAGAGGGACGTTCTTTTGGAACGCTATGTAAACAACGATTTGCAATTTGAGCAAACCGTCTTAAACATTTTGGAAAAATTGTTCCCCTGATGTTAGAATCGACCATTTGATTTAGTTTTCGATCTTTCACACATTTTTGAGCCCACCTTACCAAACTACATTTCTCGTCGCCATAGCATATGTCCACTGCAAGCCTCAGCTCCCTGATAGCAATTCAACAATACAACCCCAAATGCAAAAACATCTGTTTTCCTTGTCAATCTTGTGGTACAGAAATACTCGGGATCCAAATATCCAAATGCGCCTTTTACATTCACATCAACATATGATATTTATTGATTAGGTGGGCCTACTTTAAACAACCCAAAATCCGAAATCTTAGCTGCCCAATTTTCATCTAGAAGAATGTTCGAGCTTTTGACATCATGATGTATGACTCCATGTCGGGTGCCAACACCGGTGTGAAGATAGTCCAACGCCATGTCCTGCACCTATGGCTATGCTTAGTCTTTGCACCCAATTTAAAGGTATTAGTGAATAACATGCACAGAGGCCTTTTGGCTTTGAAAAAAACAAAGCAGCAGCAAGATATAGGAATTAAGTGAAGGGGATTCCTCCATAGCGATAAAATGCTGTAAATCAATGAAACATGCATCGGATTTCGTGATGATTATTTCTTTGTTGAAAACGAAAGGCATCTCCCAGTGAGTATTTTTGTTTTGGTTGTTAAACTTGACGAGGACAACAACCGCATATTCCTCACATTGATTTTCTTTAATAATCGTTGTTTATATTATTCATATGTTTATATATTTTTTTGGTTATTGATTATTATTTTTTATAATATACATTGAATTATTTTTGTATTTGTAGATTCTTTTATTATTAGTTCGTTTTAACAATTCTCTTTTTTAATTATTATCGAACTTAACAAATAAAAATCAATATCTCTATTTCTATTCTCTTATTGGTTAATAACAGTTAGAAAAAAAGTTTTAGTAATATTATAATGGTAATCGTGCAATGCAACGATATACATCTTGATTTAAATAATTTATTTTGTTCTTTATCTCAATTGATGTTATAATTTGGTCTTATGTGATTTTGAAAAAACGATAATGTTTTTATTTTTGAATAAAATATAAACTTGAAGATATCATAAAAATTTGACAAAAATATATCGATATTACTATCAAATTAACTATTTAAAATTCCTTATTTTTTGTGTAATTTTTTAATTTAATTTTTTTTATTGTAATTTAATTTAGGTTCAATAACGAAGTAATTTATATTTGGTTTAATAATATAATTTTATTATAAAGAT